TCATCCAGGAACCATGGACCTCACCCAGGAACAGAGACAGGAACCCAGCATTTGAAAGACAAAAGACCCTGCAGACCAGCAATTCTCACTATTACAGACACCTGAAACTGCACATCCCTGTATGGAGCAACCATGCTCAGTATGTCAGGGGATGACCCTTGCCTGGGCATGCCTCCTGTCACTAGGGTCACACAAGGTCTGCCCCTATAAAAAGGGGCAGTGAAAACAGACCCAGTGGGGCACCCTCTCCCTCTGGACCAGCACCATGCCACACCACCTATCCACCCAGAGGCCCTGTCGGCAACCTTGCTCTGGGCAGCACCTACTGGGTAAGGACCCCTTTCCAGCCTGGATAGGTAAGTATCACCCCCCACCCCCTTTTCAATGAAGGACTTGGACTCTGCTTCTCTTCCTTACCTGGACTCCAGCCCTTCCACTGAGTCTATGTCTCCTGCTGCCATTGTGAGTGCTTGTGTGTGTGTGAACCAATAACTTCATGGGGCTGCATAGTATATTGTCTGTGTAATAAAACTGTTATTTGAACCCCTAAGTTGGGTTTTGCTTTACTAAGGTTTGGCCCTGTTCCAATCTCTGCTCCTCACCCCTCTAACTTCTGTCTCATTTCTCCCTCTCCTGCTTCTGGCTCACTGCCACCTCCAACACCTGCCCTGAGCTCCTGTCTGCCTCCAAGCCCCCTGTTTCTTTGCCACTGTCTTATCCCCACTGCCTTTTCCCTTTTCCCCTGAGCAACCAGGTTTCTGCCTTAGTTTCTTTCCTGAATGTCTCCTCCTTGCCACCACTTATCTGCCCACCCCCCAATATCTCAGCTGTCTGCCTCAGTTTCCATCACCAGTCTACCTTAAGTAAACCCAAGCCTCAGTTCCTCTACCAGCTTCTCTGTAGTCCATTGGTTCTAATCCCAGTTTGGGCAACTTTCACTCCCTACACTTTAACTCTCTCTCTCTCTCTCACCTGAACCTTCCCCCAAGTATCCCAGGTACCCCAAGCACACACATACAATGTATGTATAAGTGTATATGGCACTGTGTCCATGATATACGTATTAGTGATCTGTGTCTAACATTTGGGGTGTATAGTGTATGTGCTTGAATTGGTGATAGATATGCATGTGCCTAGGCTGGTTTGGATGTGTTTGTGCCTGAGCTGGTAGTGTGTGTGTGTATGCACCAAATTTATTTGTGTGTTTGTATATGTGCAATTGTGTCATACCCTCCAGTCTAACAGTACAATATAGAGATCCTGAGAGTTGGCCTGATCCCTCAGGGCAACAGATGGAATTCAGCTGATTCAATTTTTTAAATCTAATGTTATGTCCTATTGTTGTTTTGCTTTTTGTGCAAATGATATTGCTTCTGTTCATGATTTTATTGTGTTGGAAAATGAAATGGCTGTATTTTAAACTAGAACACTATCAAGCTGAGCTGCTGCAAGGATTATATTATGACAAGCTCCTTTAATAATTAGGATGCCAGGCAAGCCTGGGGTGAAATGATCACTCACTCTGTGAAGAGCTTGGCTGATGGTTGAAACCCATACAAGCCTTGAAGCAGGAGCAGAGTTTCATTACCTGACTGACTTCCATGCAGTAATGGCATAGGTGAACCTAGCCATCAAAGAGTGGATTGTTAGGGTAGCTTGTCATATTTATGCTTTAAAATTGCACCTGTTTATAGAGTGGTAACTTATAATATTGTTTTAAGTTTTCCTTTATATTCAGGCTAAAGTTCTGTATAGCCTCACTGTTATCTGAACTTTTCATTTTGCTGGTGTTTGCAATATCAAGTGGCCTTGTCTCTTTCAAGGAGCTTATGGCCTTGAGTTTGCTCGCATGATGTTTCTTTCCTTTTCTATCACTGTGAGAAATTTTTCTAACACAACATAGTAATAGTTTTGTTATTAGCTGAAATTAACTGAACTTGGCACTAACCAGTTGAATCAAAGGGATGAAATGGTTGGATATGTTAATGTAAGGTGATAAAGAAGACCAATGGACTATGCCCAAAGTAAGACATGGAGAAAAGGCCAAATTAAGAGATGTGCTCATGATGGGTCTGTTGAACAAAGGAATATGCTGACAGGATAAAATATAGAAAATATTCTGACTACAAAGTGTCATCCAAGGAGTCAAGTTAAATAAAAGTGTAAAGTGGGGGAGGAAGGAAGTTAAGTATGTGTTGCTGTCATTGTCACGCCCTGAGTCAGTGCTATGAGTATGACTGTGCCCTATGGTCAGGGTTCCCCCAACTCTCCTGCCACAATTTGTTGATATATGTAAAGAAAGAGGGGGTTCAGTGGTGTTTCCCTTCCCCTCTTGTCCCAGAGGTGGAGTACTCACAGGTACGCCGCAGTGTACCTCAGGGTCCGCCTCCTCTACACCCTGTCCAGACACCAACTGCTCGGGTACTCAGGTCTGCATCCCAATGTAATGTCGACCCCTTGACTGTGGGGTTCAACATTAATTGCAATGCTCCTGGTCGTTGTCTGGATGTAGATGGCTCTAGCAGTCCCAGTAGCCTCAGGGGTCTGAGCTTCAGATGATAGGTGTCCGCCCTGAGAGAAATGCTTACATAAATTTCTTTAATGTTGAGGAGCTGAGAATGGTCCATCAACAGCTTGATGCCAGCCACTGCTCCTGCTCTGCTACCATGGAGCAGTGCCTGTGGAGTTGCTGCTGCTGGAGCCTGGAGCTCCCCTCTGGTCAGTGCAGTCCCAGCTGGCTTCCTCCTCACTTCCAGCTTCCAGCAGGGTCTTTTAAGTTTCCCGTGGTGGCAGCATCAGCTGTTGCAATCAATTGGTCACTGCCTCACCCAGGAAGAAGCCACTTGAAGAGCTGGCAAAATGCCAGCTTGTGCAGCTCTTGCTGCATCCCTGCCCATCTGGGAGGTGAGTTTCCTGAGGTGTGGGGGGGCTTTCTTTTCCCCTTCAGGAATTCTGGGGCTTACCCCCCGCATTCCTGGGGGGTTTCTTGCTACCACACACCTCCCTCCTTAAGCTGCCTTGTTGCATCTTGGTATCTTGCCGTACATCCTGAGTGGTGTGATGTTGCTTCTGGTGCGCTTGGCGTGCCTTCTTAGCTGGCTCATCCAGACTGATGTATCTGGAGAGGAAATCCACCACCAAGTTATTTTTACAAGGGTGATGCACCACTGTGAATTTAAAAGGCTGCAGAGCAAGTGCCCAATGAGTTATACAGGCATTCTCTATATGGTTTTTAGTCAGCCACTGAAGTGGGGAATGATCTGTGACCACTAGGAACTCTCAGCCCATTAGGTAGTATTTAAAATATTCCACCACCCAGTATACAGTTAGGCACTCCTTTTCTATTGTAGCGTACCTGGTTTCTGCTAAGTTAAGCTTATGGCTTACAAATGTGACTGGGTGCTCATCTTCTCCGCCCCCCCCATTGTTGTAGCAGGACCACCCCCAAGGCACTGCTGGATACCTATCTGTAAGATAAAAGGGGTAGAAAAGTCTGGGGTACGTACTACTACTTCTTGATACATGGTCCCCTTCAAATTCTCAAAACTTTTTGTCATCTCAGCCATCCATCATAGAGCCCTTGAGGCCCTTCCTCAGTGAGGGGTGTGACAAGCTCTGCAAAGTGCAGTATAATTCTTCAATAGTAATTAATGAGCCCTAAGAAGGATCAAAGTTGATGACAGTTGTGTGGCTCCTGAAAGTGGAGTATAGCCTCCACTATGTCTTTGAGGGGTTGGATAGTTCCCCAGCCCACACAAAATCCCATATACTTGGTCTCTTTTCTGGGCATTTTACATTTCTTGGGATTACCCATCATTCCAGCCACTTTGAGTTTCACCCAGTATGGCCCTCTGGGCACAAAGATGCCGTGGCTAGTCTGTGGTAAAGATGATTATGTCATCAATGTAAGCAGCAGCATAGGCTGTGTGCAGAGCCAGCAGGGAATTCATAAGCCTCTGGAACATGGCTGTAGCTCCATTAAGCTTGAAGGACATTTGTAAGTACTCAAATAGGCCCCAGGGCATTCCAAAGGCTGTTTTGGCACAATCTGAAGGTCTCATTAGGATTGGCCAATATCCTTTGGCTAGGTCAATGGTAGATATATACCATGCTTCCCTGATCTTCTCCACGAGGTGGGCAATATGGGGCATGGGGAAGGCACAAAAGGTCACCAGTGCGTTTAACTTCTGGTAGTCTATGCATAGATGGAGTGACCCATCAGGTTTGGCTACCAGTACTATTGGACTGTGCCAGGGGCTTTGGGAAGGTCAGATAATCCCTCAACTCTGCATCTTCTCTCTTTCCTGCCATACCTCTTGCTGTAGTTGGTGAGGTATAGGTCTCCATCGCTCTCTGACTAGAGCACCTGGAGGTATCCTTATCTCATGTTCTACTCCTCGGGCCCATCCCAGGGTCTCTTGGAATACTTCCCAGAAGGTTCTACCATCTCCATCAGTTCCCACTATTACTTGGTGTCCAAGTCTTCCCCAAATTGAACCTGTATGCCAGGAGTTGCTCAATCCCCCAAATCTAGGCAAGGAGGTCCTAACTATTCCTCCAGCTCCTTGTATTGTGCCATCCAGCCCTGTGGTGCTTTCCAATCCTTGGGAAGTTTGACATGGTATATCTGACATTCCTAGTGGTATCCAGGTTTGAATATCTCATAAACTACTGGACCTATTTTCCAACTGGAGAGCTGCTTACTCTCTGAAGCTGGAAGCAATACTAGTACCATATCTCCAGGTTGGAATGTCCTGGACTTCACCCTTCGATCATACTGGGTCTTTTGCCATTCTTGAGCCAGCCAGAGATTCTGAAAGGCAATTTTCTGTGCCTTGTTTATTTGCTTCTGCAATTCCTGGTGATATCTCTTCACCATAATCCCTATCCCCACTGGTCTCATCCACTCTTTTCTAACAGTCTGTAAGAGACACCTTGGGTTATGTCCATATACCAGCTGGAAGAGCGAGAACTGAGTAGACTCTTGAGGAGCATCACGTAGGGTGAATAATAGTGGGGTTAATACCATGTCCCAGCTATGTGGGTCCTTCTGTGCACATCTCCTGAGTATCCTCTTGATGGTCCCACTGAGTCTCTCCACTAACCTGTTAATCTGGGGGTGATAAATGGATGTCTTCATATGGTTGATGCCCAGGGTGCTACATAATGCTTTCATTACTTCCAACAAAATTAATCCCCTGGTTGGTGAGTATTTCATGGGGGATTCCCATGCATGCAATCCACTTTAATCGCTCTTCAACCACTCAGGTAGCTGTGATTGACCTAAGCAAGACTGCTTCTGGAAAATGTGTTGCGTAGTCAACCAAGACGAATACATTTGGTACCCCCCATTAGACTTTGGCAGGGGTCCCTTGATATCCAGGGCTGCTCGGGAGAAGGATGTCTCAGTTGCCACCATGGACTGCAAGGGGGCCCTCTGAGATCTCCAATCCTGGGCCCTCTGGCACTCAGGACATGCTGCACCCCACCTATCCACATTGTCTTGTAGCTGGGACCAAAAGAAATCATGGACCAGTCATGCCCTGGTCTTGTTGCACCTTAGGTGGCCACCTAGCAGGGTGTCATGTGCCAACTGCCAAATTTGCCAGTAGAATGGGGCCAGGACTGTTAGACCTCAACTCCATGTGATGCCCAAAGTCTAGGGAGACAATGGATTGTTGACATCACGCATCACCTGCACACATTGCTCATCAACAGCTTTATTCAAAATGGGGACAGCTTTGGACTAGATCCAACAAAGCGGGGAGCTACCTCAAACATTAGTTCTTTCCACATTTATACACCTTGGTTCATACTCATTAACATTTTCTCCACCTATGTCCCTCCTTTGTTCCACCCATATTTCCTCCTATCTTAAGCGCTGCCTCTGTTTACTTCATTAGCGTGGAATTACCTATGCATTTTACTTATTTACATATCTTTTTGCTATAAGCACATATGACCCTGGCTTCTTTTGGTCAATTGCAGTTTCTTGCTGATTTCTTCACCATCTTCAAGGTCTTGCTTCTGCTTATCTCCTAATGATAGCCAGTGGTCTGCATCCTGTTCTCCTTATGCAATGAGCTATATATCTTACAACACTATGACATTGTTAGGGAAATGCTTACCTAAGCATCTTGCAATGTTACTTTTTATATTATTCTACCTTGTGGTTAGCAGCTTTGCTGGGCCACAGGCTATAGCCTTTTATTCAGCTGCAAATTCAATGTTCCCCAAGATCTAAATACTATTACCCTAACAGGGACCACCAGTTGACATCTCTCCACAATACCCTCCTGACCCCTCTGGACCTGATACAGCAGATCCCCAGCACCTCAAAGTCTAGAACAATCCAAAGACCAGGTCCACCTCACAGACAAGCCCTAAATTACATTCAAGTGCCACTCTGACATCGGCATTGTCCTAATTTCTCATGAGTCTCAGAGTTCTAGGTCCTACATTTTCCTGAGTCTTCAGCCTGCCAAGGGTTTTTATCCAGCCCTTGGTGGGTCCTTCAGTCTAACCCAACTCAGGCACAGGGGCAGCCTAGGCCATAGTTCATGTGGCTGTTCTCAATGACCCTCGGCATGCAGCAGCTAAGTGGCACAGTGGCCAAACTCACTTCCCAAAACCCTGGCAATGGTGGCTCCTTCTGGCTGCTGCCACTGTTGGCCCCACCCCTGCTGTCTGGATGCCCTGACCCAACTTCCCCACACTCACTGCCGGGGATGGAACCCATGTGGGCAAGGCACATGGGTGGGAAGACGTGATGGGGCTATGGGTGTGCAGGGATTGATGTTTGGCAGCAGGACAGATGGGCAAGCAGGACTGGGGTCACAGGGCAAGATAATGGCGTGGTGACAGCACAGAGTTGGGACCTGAGGCCAGGCCATGTTCTTCTCCCTTCATAGCCCTGTGATTGATGCCAGTTCTCCAGGCAAGGGTGTTCAGGGAGAAGATCATGGGTGCCCCAGCTCTGGCCCCATGCTTTCATTGCCCTGTGGTTCCATCCCTATCCCTGCCCACCTGTCCTGCTTCCAGGCAACATATGGAATTTTGGTGATCTATTATACAGGGGGGAGGGAAGTAGAGGGGGTGCTGACCCAGCCTGCAACAGCTCATCAAAAATCCCTAGACAACCTTCAGACCCAAATAATTTCCTGCCCCTGCTCTAGAAAAGTCTTTCCTGCTAGGGGAAATTCATAGAATCATAGAAGTAGGGTCGGAAAGGACCTTGTAGATCTTCAAGTCCAAACCCCAGCCTGGGCGGGAGAAAAACTGGACTCAAATGAGTCTAGCCAGGTAGGCATCAAGCCTCTTCTTAAAGACCGCAAGGGTAGGAGCCAGCACCACTTCCCTTGGAAGTTGGTTCCAGATCCTAGCCACCCTAACTGTGAAGTAGTTCTTGCGGATGTCTAATCTAAACCTATTCTCCGATAACTTGTGTCTATTATTCCTTGTTATGCCAGGGGGTGCTAGGGGAAACAGTGTCTCTCCCAAACCCTTCTTGTCCCCCCTAGTGAGTTTATAGACAGTCACCAGGTCCCCCCTCAGCCTTCTCTTGTGAAGGCTGAATAGGTTTAGGTCCCACAGTCGTTCATTGTAGGGTCTGCCCTGTTGTCCCCGGATCATGCAGGTGGCCCTCCTCTGGACCCTTTCAATGTTGTCCACATCCCTCCTGAAGTGGGGCACATAGAACTGGACGCAGTACTCCAGCTGTGGCCTGACCAGCATCAAACAGAGGGGGAGGATCACCTCCTTGGCTCTACTTGAGATGCACCTGTGGATTCACAACAAGGTCCGGTTAGCCCTGCCAACCGTGACCTCGCATTGTCAGCCCATGTTCATCTTGAAATTGGAATTCCTTTAGGTCAGAAGTGGACAACCTGAGATGTTTTCCACCAGTGTTATAGGCAGCTTCTGAATGTGGCACACATAAGATTACAGGGGGGCAGGGGGAATGTAGTGCATCAACAGATAGGGCAGAAAGCAGAAAAAGAATAAAAATCAGGCAGGGAGCATAGGGTTGGGAGTAGAAAGCAGGGTAGTAAATCAGGCAGGAGAAGGAGATCAGAATGGCACTTGGGAAGGGTGTGGGGCTAGTTTGTGGCACACCTGCCAAAAAGGTTGGCTCCCACTGCTCGAGGTCTAGCAATGTCCATTACTCTGACATGCCTTCACTATTGAGGAGTTGAATTTCCCATTACAGGCAGACAATACCTTGGGTGTCCATCCCAACAATAGACCAATTCTGTCTGTTTGAGAGAGTGGCAATTATTCTTGCCCTAGTAACATAAGGGCGAGAGATATTTAGCAGTTTTGCGTACTCTCATTTCTTTAAGTATACATCCTATGGTTCCTTTGACTAAAGCATAGCTGTGTGCAAAGCGGACCGTATTTGATTTGGATTCAGATTCAGTCTGATTTGTGGGAAAGTGATTCAATTCACTGATTCAGATCACTGTTCCAATTGGATTCGGCCGAATCTGAATCTGAAGATTCAATTCTGATTTGAAGAACCAGTGATTTGGCCATAGACAGAGCTTTATATGTTTTTTCTATGTACCTCAAGGTACCAGGTGCAGCTTGTGAACTCTGAGATGATGGAGTGGATGAAGCATCCCACAGGAACATTGGGGGGGGGCAGGCATGTGCTCAGTGGCAGACCTGGAAGTGGATTGGTCCACTTCTGGTCCACTTCTAAGTCTGCCACCAAGGGTACAGAGAACCCCCCACCTCCACCATGCCCTCCCAGCTTGGCAATTGGCTGTGGGGGAACCACCTAATCAGAAAGAGGCAGTTGATGAGGCACTCTTTAAGCAGGTTGCAAATCTTTCTAAAAGCTATGGAATGGCAGTGATGGGAGTCTTTAATTTTCTGGATATCTGATGGAAGAACAATGCAGCGAAACATAATATGTTAAGCTAGTTTCTAACTTGTGGGGAGGACAACATTCTGTTCCAGGAGGTGGAGGATACAACCAAGAGAATATCTAATTTGGATCTTGTCCTGAGCAACAGGGAAGAACTGTTGGAAGATGTGAAGATGATAGATAACTTGGGAGAAAGTAACCGCAATATAAAATAATTCCAGCTCTGGAGACAGAGAAAGCATGAAGTCAGCAAAATTAGGATGCTAGATTTAAAAAAGACAGACTTCATCCAACTCAAGGAATTAATAGGCATGGTGTCATGGGACTGAAGGATAAAAGGTGCCCAGGAGGGCTGGGAGCTTCTAAGGGGCACAGTATTGGAAGCCCAATAAGAAACTCTCCTGGCATGACGGAAGCATAAAAAGAGAAAGAGACCAATGTGATTACACAAGGAGCTTCTAAAATGCCTTAAATACAAAAAGAAAACATTCAGACAATGGAAGAATGGGCAGGTCACCAAGGATGCATACCAGGAAATAAAAGGAACCTGCAGGGACAAAATGAGAAAGACAAAGAAAGAACAAGCTGCACCTGGCAAAGGAGGTTAAGAACAACAAGAAAAGGTTCTGTAAGGATGTGGGACAGAAAATAAGGACCAAGGGAGCTGTGGGTGGAACTCTTAACAGAAGATGCAAAGAAGGCAGAGACACTCAACAGCTACTTTGCCACAGTCTTCACAAACAAATTAATCTGCAGCCAGACATTGAATAAGGATGATCTGGATAAGGAAGGGGGCAAGCAGAGGGAGGAGATAACAAAGGAGGCCAACAGGGAGCTTTGGTTGGGTCTTAATGAATTGAAGTCAGCAGGTCAGATGAACTTCATTCCAGGGTCTTGAAGGAAATGGCAGAGGAGATCTTGAATCCCTTGGCAATGATCTTCCTGAAGTCATGAGAGACTGGGCAGGTACCAGAGGACTCGAGAAGGACCAACATAGGGTCCATTTTTTAAAAAGGCAAAAAAGATAATCTGGGGAACTACAGACCTGTTAGTCTCACCTCAATACCTGGGAAGTTACTGCAGCATATCTTATGGAAGGCCATGTGCAAGCATCTGGAGGAGAAAAGGCTTATCACAAGCAGCTAGCATGGATTTATGAAAAACAGACCATGCCAAAAAAACTTGATCTCCTTTGTCAAAGTAACTACTTGGGTGGGTGAAGGGAATGCTGTGGATATAGTGTATCTGGACCTTATCAAGGCTTTTGGCTAGCTCCCACATGACTTTCTCATAACCAAGTTGGAAAAATGTGGCTAGATACAACTACTACAATGTAAACAGATAACTGGCTCAATAGCCATAAGCTAAGTGTAATTATTAACGGGTCCATGTCAGAATGGCAGGAGGAATCCTGTAGAGTCCCACAGGGGTCTGTGCTGGGCCTGGTTCTGTTCAACATGTTTATTAATTATTTTGATGCTAGCACAGAAAGCTTCTTGAGAAAGTTTTCAGATGACACTGGGAAGGATTGCGAAGATCTTGGAAGATGCAAGCACAATTCAGAAGGATCTCAAGGGATTGAAAAGTTGAGCTAGAGCTAACAGGATGAAGTTCAAAGGTTCTACACCTCAGGAAGAATAATCAAAAGCACAAATACAAAATTGGGGTCACCTGGCCAGATGGCAGTTCTTTGGAAAAATGACTTGGGAGTCTTGGTAGACCACAGACTTAATATGAATCTGAAGGTGCATAAAAGGCCAATGAAGTTTTGGGATGCATCAAGAGAAGCATTAAGTGCAAGACAGGAGGTGATATAGTGCCTCTGTGCTTGACACTGGTTAGGCTTCATGTGGACTACTATGTGCATTTCTGGGCTCCACATTTTACAAAGGATGTGGAGAAGTTAGGTCCAGAGGCAAAAAATAAAGATGATAAAGGGCTTGGAAAACAAGTCATATGAGGAGAGGGTGAAGGAGCTAGGGATGTTCAGCTTGCAGAAAAGGCACCTAAGAGGACAGCAGTTTTCAAATACTTGAACAGCTTGTATAAGGAAGATAGAAAGCACCTTTGTCCCACTTGCTGCAGAGAGGAGGACTTGGACCAATGGTTTGAAGTTGAAGCAAAGTAAGTTTAGACTGGATATTGGGAAAAATGTCTTCACTGTGAGAATGGTGAGGCAGTATAATAGACTGTCTAGGGAAGTTGTGGACTCTCCATCATTGAAGGTATTCAACAAGAGGTTAGACAGCCACTGCTCAGAGATGATCTAGGCATAGCTATGTCCTAGTTTCTACCATGACTATTTCTTCTGGGCTTTGCTGGTTGCCTCCTACCACCCTCACCCCTTTTTTCTGATGTATGTATTAGGATGTTTTTAAGTCTCCCCAGAGGCATTGGGTGCTGGCTACACTGGGGGACTTTAACTGGGAGGTGCCGATTCTCTTGCTAGGAGAAAAGCCTAAGTTTCCTGGTTAGAGCGTTTTGCTCTTCTGCTAAGGATCAGACTAATAGCCATATCCAGAGTCAGGAAGGGATTTTATTCCATGGTCAGATTGGTATGGACTGTAGGGGTTTTTACCTTCCTCTGTAGTGATGGCTGTGGTCCTTTACCCAGACCTTCTTGAGCATATATGTTGGATCAACATGTTATAGAAGCATGACATTGGCTGCTGTGGCTTCCCTGTGTTACCTGTGGCAGCTTAGGGTGTTAAATGTATGTTATGTCAGGGTTGAGGGTAATCTTATGTAGAGTTTAGATTATGGTTATATGGGATAATTTCGATAGTGATGACCCTGCCTCAGGCAGCAGCTTCAACTAGATGACCTCTGGAGGCCCCTCCCAGCCCTACTTCTCTATGGACTATAAACACCCCAAAATCTGGTAGGGTTTGTGACACCAGGCTTATAGCAGACTGCACTTAGCTCTTAATTTCCCTGGCCTCCTACGTAGCCAGCCTCCAACTGCTGAGCTGTCTCCTTTTTAAATGCAACACTCACAAGGAAGATGAAGTGGTGGAGCTAATTAAATAAAAACCAACAGCCCTAGGCACGCTAAAAAAATGATCCACACTATTCCAGCCCCCTCCTGTATTTAAGAGTATTCTTCTACGTGTATGAATTTAGGAGCAAATTAGAGATTACCAAGTTTCCCCAAGGTAATCTGTCAAATCCTCACCTATTTTAACCTAATGAATGTACATACATTTTGTGTCAAATATGGAAATTTATACCAGCTAAGGATATTACTCAATATATTTGTGATTTGTTGTTTAAGAAAATTCTATAGTATAAAACTAATTCTTATTTCATAAAACATTTCTCTTTTACAAAACATAAATATACATTCTGCTGAATAAATTGTTTATTTTAAAACTAGTGAAGGATAGCTTTGCCTCCTGCTGCATTAGGAATAAAACACAATGCAATTATTGAAGTGCTTCATTTTGCTATCTAATCACTTTAGGGTGGCACAGCCTATTCTAATATGCCATTGATTAGATTCCGAAAGAGTCTCTTTATACCATCAAGAAAGATGGTTTTATCCCGTTATCATACATTTTACCCTAAAATTTTAATTGCTAGACATGGGGCAGGATTGAACTGTTTTCTGAAATGTAGAAAAGATTCAGTAGAAAGAGATATGAGAGCAAAATAATACAAGCACTTGCTAACCTTTAATTAATCTCGCCATCAATGGATGAGCATCTACAATGCTAGATACTAACTTTTTAAAACCAGAACTATTGATGGGAAAAAAGGGATGAGGGAGAGTTTTCAATCAGTTACCTCTAAAAATTGTAGCCATTTTCTACTATAGAACCTAAGAACATTTCAAAATTTTGGATTATATATTTGATAATTAAACAAATTATGAACACTGAAATGAATATTTATCCATAGTATAACTATGATAAGATCATTAACATTTATGGAAGAATCCAATCCAATCCATTAATTGTATTGTAACTTTTCTTTTCTTTCAGTGAGTAAGGTTTTCTTACTAGGTTTCTTCTTACCTTAAATTACTTTCTATTGATTAAGCTAGGTTTTTTAGTCATGACTATTAATCATCATCTAAATGTAGTAGCTGTCATAAGAAATGTATAATACCATGTTTCTGGTTTATAAATATGGGCAGGCTTTGCTGTTCTTATTTGCATGGAAAGAAATTCTGGTTCAGGTAAGTTAGGAGGAGGCTTGCACAAGTGAACTCAGTCACAAAATTTGGTACTTGGTGTGAAATAGCATTTAGTTTTAATTTTGCTTTATTTCTTTTAAATTTTTCTTGCTAGTGCACTACTGTATGGAAGTATTAGCAAGCAAAAAAAAAGAAGCCCAAATTAGATGAATATACCCCACACAAGAAAATTTGAAAAGCAATCTTAGAAGAGAATTTTTTTCGGTTATATAACTGTTTATCTTATTTTTCTCCCTCCCATGTTCTAAAATCTATACGTGAAATAAAAAGGTAATTTAAAGATACAGTGGGCATATCTACACCATTAATGCACAATAGTTACTGTGCATTTAATTTAGAACTTCCTTAATGAAGTATTAAATGTGTAGTAACTAGTTATTGTGCAGTAGCACCAGGGCAGGGTTTTTTTGTGATGGTTACTGTATAGTAGCCTAATAACACTGTGCAGTAGCTTATTAGCACAGTTTTTGACTGGCATGCTACTGAGCACAGTGAGCATTGTGTAGACACAGACAGTATCTTCTAGTCTTTATGCATGCTTACCAATGATTGGTTAAACTTTATTTCACTGACTTCTTATATAGATCACACTACAATATATTTAATAGAAATCCTAGACATTTTGTTAGTGGTAACTAACTAAAATGATTTAAAATGTCCTACTTACTTGCTTGTTCTATGGTGGCTCAGAGATGAATTATTGAAGGGCTTAAGATTTGGATATTTGAGTTAAAATAAATGCATTCAGAACCTCATGCAACTAGGCAGAACCCAGTGGATTACACACAGAAACACACATGCATAGTAGGAAGAAAATGTATACATTAAAGTCTTATTTTACATGGGTCCAGCAAAGAACATGTTTTTAGCTGTAGGTCTGAGAGTAATGAAACCGAAATCCACAGGACTACATATAGGCTTAAGCTGGTATTGGAAGTTTTGTTTCTTAGCTACAAACAGGAAGCCTGAAGTAAGGCTGCAGAAGTCCATGTTTGTTATGCAGTTCCTCTGGGAACAACCCTTTGAATAAAGAAAATCTCAGTCAAACACTGAGAAACTGGAAACCATAGAATATCAGGAGTAAATAAAAATTAAGTCCATCACAGCTGAAACTTTCTGGAAACTAAAACAACCCAAAGACACTTAAGCTATAGTTCATTCTGGGCATGTAAGTAATTGCTGCTATGAAAAGGAAGCCAGAAGGAAACCTTATTTCTGAAAACAGTAGAGTCCGGTGATCTTTACATTCTTAACAGTTTGTGGCTAACTCAGGCAGAAACTATATTACAACAATTTAAGGAGTACTGGGCATCAAGTAAAGATGAAACATTTGTGAGAGAGCATTTGAAAACCAGAAATAATACAACTGGAGAGTTCATATACGATCCAACACTAAAAAACGAATCTGGCAATATGAGGGGAGTGGGGGTGTAAACGAGTTCCTGATATGCAAACAGACTTTTCCAGAACCTGGAAAAGAAAACTCAGAAACCAGTAGGATATCCACAAATAATCTTGGACAATGCAATTAACATTTAGAGGTCTTTTTGTCAAGAACAAAATTTATGGAATATTGACAGTGTTTTGACTCTCTCAACACTGTTTGTCAGAATCCAAAATGTCATAAAAAAATACAGATATATAAAGTTCAAAGTCAGAAAATTCAGAATCAAGTAGTGGGAGTGCATGGAACTTTGACTATCAATACAAAGTAAGGAGGGCTATGATCGGCATACAGAAAAGGCACAAGAAATTATGTGGATTACATAATCTATCAAGCAATGCAAGCATATGCATAGTGTGGACAAAAGGAGTATATTATAAACACTCGCCTCTCGGATTCATTTTGCATAGGAGCAAAGAATATTCCTACAACCAAAGAATTGTCTTATTGACTCCAAAAGCCAAGTGCACATACTGATAGATAAAGAACAGGTAGAACTCAGGATTTATAGTTGTCAGCTTGTTCCCAGTAATGAAGGTACAAAATAGATATACAGGTGAATATGTATGTTTTAATAATGCCATTATGGGGTTTAAAGCATATCAGGTCTTTCTAGCCATGCATTAAATTAGTGAAATAAATGTTTGAGAACATCTTTCAAGAGATGAAGACCTTGACAAAGAATTAACAGATCTGAATGAGTAAAACCATTCTACAATTTGTACCACTTGCTCTAAAGCAAAAGTTAGTGATGGATCTGGACAGGTTTATTTTACTGTTAATCAATAAGCAAAGAGAACCAACTGAGTGGATGCACTTGCTGATCATTGCAGAGAACATAACAGAATGTTTAACTTATGCATGTGGCAGGGTGGCTGGTGGCAGCCCAGCTTGATGGCTTGAGCTGGATGGCTCAGGTTGATTGGTGGGGGGCATTTCCCTTCCCCACCAATCAGAAGGCAGCAGGAGGAAGG